CCCGAGTATCTTAGCCTCCAAGTCAGTACCTGATCTCTAGATTAAACCGATAATGTTACCCGTACCACCACCCGACTGTCTGGTGATAGTGCAGCGTCTTGCCTTTGGTCTACGTTTTCGGTTAGCTGCCATCATCCATGGTCCATATAAAACCTTTCTATGCTCCGTCGAACCGTTATTATTTCCTTAGGTTTAGGTATCAATAACGAAATAGTCGATTCCTTCATAGGCACTTCGTCTTGCTCCTGATTATATATGATATGATCCCATTAACCTTCCCCGCATGTTCTGTAGAAGATGTTTGAGTGTGTTGCATTGCCATCCCATAAAGGTTCAACCCAAGTCGGCTAAGTCTCGGTTGAAGTGTAATATGCAGTATAAAATTAAAACTAGTATAGATGCATAATAGTAATCTTCAGATGCATAGTTTTAGCTGAAGAAGAAGATAACAACGATGTCTTTGACTTGACAAATCTGGTCTTGTGTTGTTTCCATTCTCCCCTCTGTTCCGCTGTCGTCAGATATTGTTTCCCATTTGCTTTGTAATTTTGGAAATGGGGAGAATGGTCTTGTGTTGTCACCTTTCTTGAACTAGCTCTCGGATTCTCCATAGTACTTCTTCCGAGTAACCTTAGCCTCTAAGTCAGTACCTGATCTCTAGAAATTAAACCGATAATTGGTTACCCCTACCACCACCTGACGTGTCTGGTTGATATTGCAGCGTCTTGCCTTTTGGTCTACGTTTTCGGTTAGCTGCCATCATCCATGGTCCATATAAACCTTTCTGCTCCGTCGAACCGTTATTATTTCCTTAGGTTTAGGGTATCAATAACGGAAATAGTCGATTCCTTCATAGGCACTTCGTCTTGCTCCTGATTATGAACCCTGCACATGTCCGAAAGCTCTGCAATTGAAACAAATATTTCGGAGCCCTTCGTAGTCCAACTTTTGGACAAAGCCATCAATGCCAATACGTGGAAGTAGCGACTTCTTCAAGTCAACCAGTATCGCTAAACGCGTAAACCTACACCGCTCACCCATCGTTGTATTATAGTCTATCTTAATAACAGTACCAAGTTCAGCCATAAGGAGACGAAATAAGGACTTAGAATAGTACCTACGGTAAACCAAGAAGACGAACCAAAACTATGACGTGGATGGATGATAATCCGTCGTAGAGAAGGAACGACTCCAGGGTTGGATAGTAAGATAACTATCAAACACCATCCAAGGACCCTCCGTTAGAATTTTCATGTAATCATCTCCCCTCGCAATCAAACCAAGTTGTAACCAACTAACCATTATCCATATCCGCCAATTCAAGCTACGTTTAAGGCTTCCATAAAGAATGAATACGCTACCTCGGCCTCACCTCCGTGTCCTATAACTGTAGCCGCGTAAGACCTGGTTGGTACATTGGTGGCTCCGCAAGAGGAACCTCCGTCAAAGGTGGAGTTCTATCTTCATCCATAACATGCACCTTCTCCAAACTGATACCGACTTCTTTTTTCGATGTGAAACCTGGATGGCCGTCCATGACGGGCGGTGGAGGTGATCCCTCAAAAGGAGGAGGGACAACCGAGTCGTCGGTTGGGACCGCCGGCTGTATAGGAGATGTCATGCAACACTAGCAAATCCTAACATGCACGTGAGGAAAACCAAAAAACCTGGAGCAAACCCTTGATATTTATACTTTTAAAATGTCTACGACTGACCAAATTATACATCTTTGTTTTCGGATATTATTTTTAATTCATGAATTTTAAGTTTACTGAAAGTATCTTGTTTCTCTTTAAAATTTATAAAAAGAAATAAATATGATTTTAAAAGAAACATGTAATTAAATGATCCGGTGAGTATATTTGATAGTTCAAAAGAGGCACAAGAATATATTTTCTTTTCCCCACAAACAGTTATTTGTGTACGTAGTGGGCAATGAATAAACGAAAGCCACGCTTTGTGCACTGTGTTTGAGTGTAAAGGCATCATATCATGAATTATTAATTTTAATATTCGATTATGAAAGAAATAACTAAATTAAGCGAAAAGAAATATAAAAGCACACTAGATAGGGGGATAAGCAATCAAAAGCTAATCCTATACCGTTAACAAAAGGGTAGTTATGCTTTACAGTAGTCTTAATATACGGTTAAAAAAATGTCATACCGAAAATATATATTTTTTTAACATTTCTAGTAAAACGTTACCTAAACCATTATTTTTTCTACCGAAAATATTAACATTTGATGCTACCTAAAATGTTTTAACATTTCCGGGCTTATTACTATCTGTTCTACTTCTTCAGCTGTCAGATTTTGGACTTGCTAGTCGGGTCTCAAGTTCTGCATCTCAAACGACTAGCATGGATGTTGCAGGAACCTTTGGGTATGTAATCTACTCTGAGTTTTTCCTGTATATTAGTCACTTTAGATATGGTCGGAATACTTGTCTGTGACAGTTACTTGGCTCCTGAATACCTCATGCGCGGAAAATTAGTGATAAAATTGATGTCTACGCATTTGGCATCGTCCTCCTAGAGCTCCTCTCTGGTAAAAACCCCATCGACGATAACCGTCCAAAAGGTCAGGAGAGCCTTGTTATGTGGGTGACTTCATCATACCTAAAAGCCTTTGTTTATCTGCCTTATTTATTTGAACATGGTATCAGGAGAATGGCTCTGCACATCTTCATGAAACGAGATAATTGTAACAAAATTTAGAGCCGATAAACAATGTTTTATAGTTCAGAAAAACAAGTTCATCTAAGTAGATCGTGCGTGAAATTCATTTTGTTTATCCCTTATTCATAGTGTCAAAAGTTGCAATGCACTGCTTCAATCCAGTTATTTTCTGAGTTATTAACATTTGGTAATGCTCTGTTGTTAACATCCAGGCAAAGCCAATTTTAAAGGACACAATTTCTCTTAGTTGCTAGATCCACAGCTCGGTGGTAGCCACGAATTTCATCAGATAGAAGGAATGGTTTAGCTGCTACCCTGTGCATTCGATGTGCACCACTAACGCTGCCTCAAATTAGCCTTGTAAGCTCACTCTCAATTGACCTTTTTTCCCCTTTCGCTCACTTTGGTTATGTTTATACTGATCTCAGCATCTTTTTTCGACCACAGATCCTGAAGCTCGTACAAGGTGACCAGGAAGTAACAAATTGGGCTCAGAAACAAGCTAGGGAATCAGAAGAAGTTGATATTGTTGACGACGATTTTTATCCTAGTAACATGGAATCCCATATCAACCTTGCATTACTAGACTTGGAAGACGATTCGCTTTCTGCAAGCAGCAACGAACGAAGTTTCCAAATAGAGGTTTACTTGCAAAAAAGATGGAGCTACTCATTGAGCTTCGCCTAGCCATCTCGATGGAGGTGTGTGTTTATCGTTTATGTGATATTTTTTTCTTTTCTGCTAGTGATTAGATCAGGTCTTGGAAGAGAGGTTGTTTAATTTAGCTTCCCCACCTTGACATAGGTTGCATTGTAGCCCATAAGATTCCCAATTTTATGTATGGGTTAGTTTTCTGGGAAATTCCTAGAGAGGAACAATGTATACTCAAAACATACACATGATTGATTGTAAATAAATCATCCTTCAAGATTGTAGTGTTTGCTGTTAACCTTCACTTTGTTCCTTGTTTATTTTTGTTTAGTCTTCAAAAGGAAATGTGGAACTGTGAATTAAAAGTAGCAATTATATCACCATTTCCATTTCCTCTGTTGACTGTATTAAATATAGACATAATTTCAAATTTTATTTTAATATTTAACTAAACAACCATTTGAGTTTTTATCTTTACATAAATTTAGCCTTTTAATATTTTAAAATAATTTTGATTAAATAAAAGTTATTAATTGACTAAAAATCAGAGGTTATTGCTAACATGGCACGTTATATGTATACAAAATTGACATGATATTATCATGTATATAAGTGATAATGTGATACATACCATGTGTTTGAAACAATGATATGACACACAATACCAAATGGGTTTTAATAGGTGCGAGGCATAGCCGGGCAATGAAGGTAGCTCCAGCCTGGGTTGGGCGAAGCGGTTTATGGGAGGCGGTCGGAGGCACACGCCTACGAGTTTTAGGTGCCGGGCATAGAAGCTTTGCGCTTTTCAGATTTCTTTTAAGAAAATAAGAGAAAATCAGATTAGATAGAAGATTTTAAGTTGATAATAAAATTAATTTATATCATTTATAAATAAATAAAATAATAGTTTTAAATATTAAAATAATTGTTATTCTCTCTAAGAATTCAAGTTTGTGTAGTTATGTTTGCCGTACAAAGTATTGGTGTGTTGTCAAAGTATTGATTTTTGATTTTATCATATAGAACAAACGGTGCGCCTCGCATACGAAAGGCGTGCCCCTACGCCAAGGCTCAAGGGTTTTTTTGCATCTTGGTGCACTTTGCTTTCTCAAAAACCAAGAATACTAATAAAATATTTTATTTTTTAGTTGTTAAGTTAATATTATTTTATTTTTGTTAAGTTATATTCATCTAATGAGACGATGACACATCGAAAAAAGATGAAAAATTAAAAAAAATGCTGGGACATTGTTTTTTTTCTTGGGTTAGGGTTTATGAATAGTTATGTTTGAGTTTTTTGTTATTTAATTGATTCTTTCCGACGAGAGAATAATCCATAGTCATCGCATCAATGCTGATTTACGAGTAAGTTGAAGCTTGATTGGTAGTTTATAAAATGGGGAAAATGTGGTTAAACAAATGATTTGTGAGTGAGATGATGGTTTATAAGTTGAGAAAGAATGTGGTTAGACAAATGATTTGTAGTTCAATCCTTTTGATTTGGACTGAAAATTACTTATTAAGAAGTGAGAGAGATAAAGATAGAGATCGAAAACATTTTTTATTGTTTAGTGATTAGATTGAATAAAAAAATTATAAATTTAAGTCTGAATTAATACTAGATAAATGATCTATTATAGACCATATGAATTATTCGTTATGAAGTTTCACATATGATTTTAAGGTAATTGCAGAGGGTATAACCATTTCTGTTTCAATTTGGAATTAAAGTTGCTGCTGTCTCTCTCTTTTCGTGACTTAATGTTGTCTACATATTTTACAGTAGCCACGATCATGAATAAAGTGGAGGGAATTCCAGAACCTGTGCCTTAAATTCTCTCCATTCTTCCATCCATCGACTAAAGCTTGAATTCCTGAGCATCACATCTTCAGACACCTCTTTGTTATCAATTAACTGCCTCGCATATTTCTCGAACATATCGATCTTGTTCCATAACAGGTTTATCTTGGTCACATCTCTCTCACTAGTCACATTATCCAGCCATTCCCATGCCTCTTCCACCCTTGCCCAAAAGCACGAATCTTGTGTCAAGCTGGCAAGTTTACTCCTCTTGTGTTCTTCATTTTTAACGCTTCTGTCGCTCCACCATTTCTCGAATATTTCGTACCTCCTCTCCCTTCCATTCTCGATGTAATGCCCGAGTTGGCGGTGCATCCCGGTCCGGTAATAGTCAGCGATGTCGAGCGGTTCCACGAGGAGCTTGTAGGACAGCGAAGCGAATACCCATTTATCCCTTCTGTCGAAATTGTGTGGCAGCTCGTTGTTTTCCAGCATGTGGATTACGCTGTTCCAGAACAAAGCAAGCTTGTGGCGGTTCATGTTGACCCTGGCTTCTCTTCTTGAGCCTGCCTTGCGCTTGAAGGAATCGTAGTAACCCATTTGATCACCGGCTCCGTCGCAGAAGGCTTTGTACCACTCGATTTCAGCTCTGAAAGGCGCTATCTTGGACAATCTTATTGCTAGGTTGGCGGCAGTAAGATTTGGGTTGTGATCGTTTTTACATATTTGTAGGCACTCCTTGGCCATAATCTCAACATTTTCCCTTAGGTTCCAGTCTTGAACTTGAAGTGGTCCCTGTACGTTCATAGTAAAAATGATTAGGAATTAAATTATAATGTGTTAAAGGTTTGCAATTTACATTACCTTGTCAGTTAAATCTGAAGATTGCAATGCCAATGCCACACCAGCTTCAAAGCTAGAATCAGGTAGGCCATCACCATTTTCATGAAAGCTTTTGGCATTCAAGAACTGCTTAGAAATTTTCCCTACATAATCTCCATACTTGAGATGATCCTCAATGCAACAACTTGGTGAACCCATTGCCATCATCAGATACATCATTTGAATAACAGATGCTGCATTTTCAACACAAACGGCACCCTCTTGGCTGCAAAACACATAGCTCCCGAAAGGCCAAAACAGGGTCTCAGTTGACACATCTTTTGTATGCACCAACATTTCCATGTCCTTCAAAACACATTGAAAAATATTGCTGTTTGGATCCTGGGGCAGCAGGGCTTGTAGTACGGGTACGTGGCTCGTGATTACGGCGAAGAGGACCCTCGGCACGATGTCGTGCTTGGAGACGACATGGCAGAAGTTTCCGCTCCATCTTTGGCGGAGTATTGATCGATGGAGGGCTTCATTGCCGAGCATCGGAGAGCCGAATGTGATGCATAGCACCGGCATTGGAGATGACATGGTGGAGTGGAGATGGCAGAGCAGCCACAGTGCAGACAGAGAGGCTGCTGTCCCGCCTATGGAGTGGCCTGTCATCACTATTGACTTCACTTTCCCTACTAACACCGAAATCTGCATCACCATATCAATTTAATTTGGTTGATTCAATGCAACTTAAATCCAATAAGTTTTAAGAAAACAAGTAAATGGTAAGACCACAATGTCATTTTGTTTTCATAATTAAATTTAATTTTTACAACGTTAGAATCCCTTTTGTAAAAAAAATTATCGTCAATTATTAAATAATTTTTATATTTAAGTCTCATAATATACAAAGGTGAATAAATAAAGAATTAGACAATAATAACTAGATTAATACATACTGAGTGGTTGAAAAAGCATGTCTACAAATTGTGTTTAGAAAATAACATAAAACAAATTATATAGATATTTTTCCCAAAAGTTAATAGGTATTTATATAATTATTTTTTTGAACAAAATAATTACCTTTAGCTTTAAGCCGACTAAAAATCCGTTGAACGGCTATAAAATGAGAAATAATTAGTTTTAAACTTATTCTCCAAATTTTTATTAAAAGAATTATCGATTCAGATATTTAAATTTTGATAAAATTATAAAATTTATTTTTTGCAATATTTAATATTTAATTTGTTTTCAAAACTACCATTACTTCAATTAAATGCGCAAAGTAGTTTGCATGTGGAAGATTCTCCAAAACATTTGCCTAAATTTGGTGACTAATGCCACTACAATCCAACTTCATTTGTTTGCTTATGTGCAGTTTATCAAGTTGATGTCACTTCTTGTCTTTGCACAAATGAATCAATCCTTGCTCTTTTACTTTTCACATAATTAATTATAATAAAGAAAAAGCTTTGATTAGTGGTTTTATTTATCTTTTGTTGACAATAATGTTGTATCCCTACTATTCAATCCGTCTCTTATTAAACTTTTAAAAGTCTAAATTTTAAATTTTAATTACGATTATTTAAAAAAAATATTTAAAAAAAATATTTTTATCAATAATAACTTTTCAATTATAATAAGTTAAAATTACATCTAGAATTATTCAAATTATAATGGTTTGTTAGGATGCTATGGAGATCAAATTATAAAATTTAAAGAAAAGGAGTTAAAAATTATAAATTTTCTATTTAATCAAAAGACTATTTAAGAGAATTTAAATTAAGTTGTTATTTTCCAGAAGGATCCAACATTTAATCGAAGAGATGGATGACAATTATTCATTCATTCAATCAATCATGCAAGAGTTGATTGAGGGTTCATTGCTATGATCATCCGGAGTCTACTTTGGGAAGTTCAAGCTTATCCAGATTTTAGTGAACAAGCTCTGCGATTTCCATAGAATCCAGCATTATTAATTATTAAATGTAGCAGCTTAGCCAAACACTTTTTTCTTTTCAAATTTGGAAATTATGATCAAAATGAACTAAATCTTCAACTTCAACCATAAATTAAGAAAGCTGCAAGAGCAAAGTAAAAGATAAAAAGCTAACCTGGATTCGCAATCCTGAGTAGAACGAGAGGAAAAGCTTTAACATCCCGTGATACACCTTGATGGGCTCCTTCGCTTGATTATGCCGATAGAGGGGAGCGAAAAGGCCACCGTCGGCGGCGTCCAACGGCAGCAGATTTCTACAGCTCGGTTCTAAACCGGAATCTATCTGCCTGCCGGAGAACGCAACGTAGGCGACGGTTCCGATCTGTTGGACGAGGTAAGAGTTGGGGAACCTGGTGTTGGCGATACTGCAAACCTTCCATGCCTCTTCCAACAATGGCGTGTGTAAACACCATTTTTTTCAATATTATTTTATTTGTAAAAAAATTAATATTATAATGTTTCAAATGGGGTTATTAATACCCCCAACCACCCTTGTAGAATCAGGGAACATTTCACCGAAAATATGGAATGAAAGACAGTTTGCTTTGACTCTTTTTTCTCTCCAATATTGCTTTTCCTTTTCCTTTCTTTTTTGGCTTTCTCACTTGGTTTTTGCTTCGGTTTCAGGGGTTCACAGGCAGAGGGAGTGGCCACCGTTGAGCGGTGGCCGGCATGCGATAGAGATCCTCTCACGGCTAGGAAACTTCGGTTGTTGGTGGCCGGCGTTGGGGGTCGGTTTTACGTCCCTCGGCGTTGTAGAGAAAGAATGGGAGAGGAGGATAACGGGAGAGGTTCTTGGCCGTTTAAGCCGTCTTTCGGGCTTCCATTGGTCGTGGTAAAGGTCGCCGTGGTTGTAGGTCGGTCATCGTCCTGGTGGCCGGCGAGTGGGGGCCGGCGTGCGGCGGCCGAAGGGAAGCGTTGAAGCTTTGGAAAGCTTCTGCCTGGTTCACGTAAATGGAGGAGGAAAATATTATGTTTGTATGGAAAATGGTTAAATCACGTATCAGGTCCCCTATTTCTAGGGGTTTTCTGTTTTGTTCATTTATTTCAGGGTCAAATCGCATTCCAGGTCCTCCCTATTTCAGCGTATCTTGCATTTGGTCACTATCAGGGTAAAAGCATCCTTAAGCCCTCATATTTTAGCTTCTATTGCACTCTGGTAATTTATTTTGTTATTTATTTTGAATATGCATATTGATTTTATTAACTTTCGAATTTAGTCACTGTTTTTTATGTTTATTCATTTTAGTCACTGTTTGGATTTTGTTTTTATTATATTATGATTTGGATGTGATATTTGTAATTTATTTATTTTAGTCACTTTTTTTATTTCTCATTTGGCATATAATTTGTAATATTCTAATTTAGTCCCGAGTGGTGGTGTAATGTATTATACATTATATTTGGCATGTAAAATTTGTAGTATGTATTTTAAGTGATGCATATGTTGTATATTTTATTATTTATAATTTAGGTGAATGTACAATTTTATTTTTTAAACTTAAGTACTTTATTCTCTTTATTTACATTTGTATTGTTCATTTTAGTATTTATTATTTAACCTTTATTATTTAGAACTTTAATTTTTGTAATATTCATTTTAGTAATTATATTTTGTTTGCTTATTTAACGTAATATTTATGCTTTAAAGTATGCACTTGTTAATTTAGTTCAATTTTATTTCCATCATTGAATAGCATTTAATTTTTATCTTTACTTTAATTTTCATTTATTTGTTCCTAATTAGTATTTTTAATTTATAACTTTTGCCATGAAAATTTGTTTGTGCATATAGATCTAGATATTTGGAATATGTATGAAAGCTTCATAAGCATAACTTAATCGATTTCATAATTGGTTTAAGGGTAATATTTATTTATTTTAAAATATTAAGGAGGGACAGTCTTAAAATAACTAGATGTCCTTTTCCGATATTGTAAAATAAATAAATATCCCACTAGAAAGACCTAAAAAATTGATTGCGTAAAAATTAATTAAGTTTGAAGGGAAAAGGAAATATTCACTTATTTAAACTTCTCGAAACAATTCGTCTAATTTTATTAGAGATTAAGTTTCGATATTTTAAATAATTGAACATCTCTTATCTTTTATAATGATATAATTAGGATAAATTGGCTTATTTTCTTTCTTTGATAGAATAAAAATTATTTTAATCTTGAATTCTGGGGAGAAATTATTATATACTTTTTATTTCAGTTGGAAAGAGAAATATTCGTCTTAAAGTATTTTAGGGATTATTTTCTCTTCAATTGGAAATATTAGAATATTTTATATTTCTCCTTAGAATTTTTCATTAAATAAAAATTATATGGTTGAATCTGGAATAATAGGATCGTAACTTAAATTTGTATTCGAATACTTAGATTTCCACTAGTAGAGATAATTTATAATTGATAGGGTACCAATTTTGGGCGTTGTGGGGGTGCTTATCCTTCCCCACACGTAATCGATCCCCGAATTTTTTTTTATTTCAAAAAATAATGAATCTCTGGTTACACGTAGATTGGTGAATCTTTTAAAATGATGTTTTTCTTAAAAAATACTTTTAAAAGAAAATTTCTAGGTATTCGACCTACCTAACCCAAAAGGTCGACGGCGACTCTAAAACATTTCAAAACCTTTTCAAAGAAAACCCCAAGTCGTACTAAGTTTTCCCCCCGCCCGGGCGGAAAACGGTGTCGACAGCTTGGCGACTCTGCTGGGGACTTTGTGGATCAAGCCCTAAATCGATTATATATTGTCTCTATAGTTGTAAATTGAGAATTCGATTTTATTTAATTTACGATTATTTTGATTTCTTTCAATTCTTTTATTATTTTTTTATCATTGTATATTAATATTTGTATTTGATTGATTTTCAGATTCGCTTTAGTTCATTTTTGTGTGGTTGTTTGTCAAAGGTTTGATAATTTCTCCTCACATACGACACTTGCATTGCATAACATAAGCTCTATACCCGAGCTCTTCCTTTTAAGTGGGAGTGAAAGCGACGTCTTCGTGAGAATTTATTCTCCGTGTCAGACCTAGCAATTAGCTTCCGGGGTTCATATGTCCTATGTCTTCGTGAGAATTTATTCTCCGTGTCAGGCATAGGAAAATGTGCCCCCTCGAATTGAACTCGATCCGCTTAAGCCTATAATGGGTGAGGATTGAGGGTCTGGCTCGCCCAAGGGGGCACCGACAAGGACAATTCGAGTACCTTTACTCTTAGAACTGAAACCCTGCATATAATAAACCGTAGAAACCCACCCGATTTAAGACAATGCCGAAACTCGTCCATAGATACCCAAATAAGTGTACACAAAGGAGAAATGAACTCTAACCTTTGTTTTTTATTTTTATTTATTTATTTTTATAATTGCATGTGAACTAGAAATTATGCGGGTAGGGTTTTATTTCCCCTTCTGTGTTTTATTCATTGTATTTTATGGTTTATTTACTAGTTGAATTTAATCTTTTCATATTTCACTAACATACATTTTCTCTCTTTGATTATTATTTTTACTAACATCTTTTCCTTGTATTGTTTCTTTATTTGTGCATAAACATGTTAATACCCGAGCTATTTATCAAAGTTAGAAGGCTTTTAAAACAACAACGTCACACGAAGGGGTAAATATTTTTATCTACTTTGACATATTGAGACATTGTGTGTTCTTTGAAAGTTGTTCTAGGATAATTACCTTGGAATTAACACATGTTTCATATATATCATGACATAGAAGGTATTGATTCCCGAGTTAATAGTCACATTAGAAGGTTTTCAATACGACAATGTCACTCGAAGAGGTATAATAGAAATGAAAAAATGCATCAATGGTCCAGAAGGGTGTTCCAGGAAACAACTGAAGAGGTACGTCAAGCTGGAATACATGAAGCTCAAATGATGCAGTAAAATAAGCTTTTCAAGGGTGCTACGATGATATTGATACAAGTAAAAAAATATGATTGAAGTCATCAGGCAACAACGACAGCCAACACGAGACAGTGGATGATGTCAGTCGCATATGGTCGCTCAACAAATGCATTTCTGGAAAAGAAGTCGAAGCGTTGGAATTTTCCATCAAGCCAAGGATAAAAGAAGATTGTTTCCTTGCATTCTCGATCAAAATTGAAGAAGTCGAGCAATATGACGTGATTTGTAGTTTCCATCTGCCTCATTGTATTAAGACATTGTGTGTTCTTTGGAAGTTGTTTTATGACAATTACTTTGGGATCAATTCCTTTGTTGCATTTACATTTTGTATTTTTGCATTCCCATTTTTGTATCTTTTCATTTGCATGTGCATCTTCACATATTTACATTAGCATCCATACATCGTACATTGCATGATATATTGCATATCAACGTGCATTATCACGGATCCTGGGAGTAACTCGTTGTATCTTTTGAGGCAAATTGAAGTCACCCCTTCGCATTTAGAAAATAATTGAGAGCTAAAGACTTGATGTTAGAGCTGTCTGAAGTTTGAGGCACATCATTGAGATCCGTGGGGCATGGAGAAGCAAGGCCCAGATTTTGTTTGACCCAAGGGTATTAACCTTTAACTCGTAATGAGACATTCTGGGGCCAGTTACCAAGAAATTCTTCCACCCATCATGAAACCTTGTTGCCCTGGCCTTGTCCTGTTTGACCGTGTTTTTGTTCTTTCCTTAATATATATTTTTGATAATTGAACTTACGTCGTTTTCTAAGGTTATGAGTAATAAATCAAGTTTTAATCTTGTAATTATTTGAATATCGAATGGATTAAAGGTTCTTTTACTACTTCACTAATTATATGCTTTTGACAAGTGGCAAGATTAGACTTTCCATACCCCATCCAAAGCCTAAAGAACCATTGTTGGGTTCCGTACCCGAAATAAAACACATTTACTCCCAAAAGACCGAAATTTGACATCACTTCCCTCTGAAACAATAAAGCCATGCCTTTATCCTCCCCGAGGCACTGAAACCTGTACTTTTACCTTCCCAGACATAAATAATCTTTTCATGACATTACATTTTTCAGAATTACGACTTTAAAGTCACACATTTCCCTTCCTATACACAGAACCACCATTCATTTCCCAATTTCAATAAAATCGGGAGGTATAAAGTACAAGATGTCTGCATATACGAGAACCATTTCTGCAAGAAGAAAGACAAGATGGAGTGTTGCAGATCAAGTTTTTTGAAAGAGGATTAGAATAATTGGGGCATACCAGGGGCAAATGGAAGAAGAAAAAATAAAGGGTATCATTGAAATAATTCTATCATGCATTAATTACATTTTTCATGTAAATAAAATTAATCTTGAATACTCGTCCCCCCTGGGGATACCTCGTTTACAAAGACTTCCATGTATGAGATGATGAATGGCTTTGTTTCATTTA